TGATAACAAGCTTATTTGAAAAGCTATCAAAAGAAGCTTATCAAATAAGCTCGTCCTACCAAACGGAACTTATTTAAATACTGGGAGTTTATAAGCTAATCAAATAAGCTATAAGTTAGCTTATTGGTCTACCAAACATAGCCTTAAGCGCAAGTGACAATGGAATAAATGCCCGAAAAAACCTATCCGATTTAGGACCTTATAACACTTGAAAATCTTTTGTTCGAGGAGCGTCTCAATACCCTCATAGCTATTTCATTAGAAAATAGGTTCTCCTTCAATATATAGTTTGAAATTACAAAAAAAATAAAAAAATAAAAAATAAACTCACTCATAAACCTTCCACAACTATCTTCGATTCTATTAACTACTTCCCTAAACTTATGTATCAGATGCAAGAACGCAAACTAAAATCTTGAATTCACAAAGTATAAAATATAATCTACAATAATCTCACAAACTCAAAGAATAAATTAACTCAATATGCTAAAGCGAGAACAATATAACCCAACTCTTATCTATGAATTCCGTGATCTAATATATATAAAGATAAGACAAATCCTAACTAGGTACGAACACCTTAGGTTGATATAATCTTCAACATTATTCATTTAGAGTAAATTTCCATCATGTAGAATTTGCAGATGTAATTTGGAGATATTTAAAATCGTGTTTCCAAAAGCGTACAGAAATATAACTTTTCTTAAATAGTCAATCTTCCAAATATAAAATTGTTGAATAAATTGGACCTAGTTGGGCCAATATTTTTTGAGCTTTCATATCGAGCGGTCATTCTAACCCATGCTCCAATAAATAGTGACAAGTTCAATCAAACTGGCCCACGAATTAGGCTAAAAATTGACATCTATGACTATAATATTGTAGTTCCTAGCATCTAATATTATGATTTTAATGTTTAATAAATTATAATCACATCAAAAAATATAAACCAAACTTTTTTACTCTTATGTAAAAAACCTAAAATGACTAATCTATACATTAGATGCTTCAAATGTTATTCTTATTTGAGACTGCGACATAATTTGTTGACATATTATATCATTCTACCGTTGATCACGCAATAACAACACAATATTGTAATCGTCGTGACCGTATCATACTACAACTTTGAATAGTCAATCAAAGAATTATTTTTTAAGTTTGAAACCATAAAACTTTTATCTTTTTTTTTTTAAATATATTTATTTGTATAAAATATTTATTTTCACTAAAAAAAAAAATATCTCCTTGTATTTGATACCCTTGTTAAAAATGACATATAACCAATTCTAGATAGAATTTGTTTATCTTCAAGGACATTATATTCCAGTGGCTGCGCCTACACTTGTCCCCACAATCGACCAAAATATTACAAATCTCACCTTTTGCCAAGATGATTAATCTATCAACCACACACACAAAAATAAATAATAAAAAATAATAATAAAATAAAATTTATACAAAGACTATTTTTTTTTTCTACCCAGAAGTATCCTTACGTTCTTCCGAGATATCGACGCCGAGCCCAAGCCATCATCCAGCCCACCTAGGAAGACCGACCAGCGGTCGGGAGAATGGGTCCACAAGGGTCAGAAAGACTATTTACTTTTTGATTTTTGAAACCATGCAACATGCCATTTATGAGTCATATACTGAGTTCTTTTTAGTAGGCGAGATTGCGAACACGATCGTTGCAATCCTCAAATTTCATAAAAAAAAAAATAATAATGAACATCAAAGATTCCGTTTAGGTTTAACCATTTAGGGTCTTTTAATTTTGAAAAATATAAGAACAATTCATAATTTATAATAATTGCAAGCCTAAAAAATCGTAGCAACGCGTGTGAGAAATAATGATATAATTCTATATATTGTCCAAACATATGATACAAATTACATTAAAAAAGTAACAAATTAAAGCTAATAAAACAAATAAAAACCCAACTTATCATCCTCCACACGAGCTAGCTAGTCACACCATCCTTACAAGTTCTACCAAATCAAGAACTACTTATAAAAAAAAAACCATAGCAACTCATCAAAACTCCCAAGAACATATATCCATCCCGACCGTGTCGTAATCAAACTCGTTCACCGAAAATATATCCTCGAATTGATCATTCATTTGGGAGACAAGCCCGCTATCCATAGCTCGCGTCTCTAAAACAGAATCCGAGGTTGTGGGTGTATTTTCGGGAGTAACCGAAGATGACAACCTTCGGTACTCTTCGCTCGACTCCTTTTCATGCGACCTCGAAAAGTCGATCTCCCGAAAGTCTCCCCCACCCGCGTAGTTGCTATCGTTGTCCATGTACCGAGATATGTCTGAGTTTTTGCCCGTGAGCTCTTGGACGAGCGACTTGAAACGGGACGCGCTTGTCGCGACCTTCATCGGGCTAGAAATGTAGACCACTTTGAGTGAGTTGTTTGTAGCCTTACTACTCTTTCTCTTGCCCTTGTGATTGTTCTTGTTTTGGTCAAGGTTCATGTTTTTTTCAGGGGAAATTTGGAAAACAAGGGAAAGTATGAAGTGTTTATTGGATTTTTATTGATGGGGTGGATTTTGTAAAGGAAATAACTAGTGGATGGATGATTTATATAGGTGTGTGTGAAAATTAGGTAATCCAATTAAAAAAAAAAGAGGTGTTTTCGTGGAAAGAGATGAAAAGATTGAATGTGAAGTAGTAAAGAAAATGGAAGGTTTTGATTGATGGGGAAATAGGAAAGCTTCTCACCAAGTTTTAGAGAAACGCTACGGTTTCGTTATGAAATCATTCTTTTGAGATTGTAATTGTTACATGTAACCGTCGAAGTTTTAGAGAAATGCTACGGTTTCGTTATGAAATCATTCTTTTGGGATTGTAATTGTTATATGTAACCGTCGAGAATAATTGATCTAGCAATTACAAACACGACGGAATAATTTCGTAACGGAACCATAGTATCTCCCCGATTTTTATAACAATAAGACGATTTTATAAATAGAATTGAAAAAATATCTAATTCGTTTGGTTCATAAAAAGAAAATGTGTCAGATTTCAGTGGTTAGATTAAAATGTTTATAATTGGTTCTAATTCTTGCTTTTTTTTTTATTATTATTATTATAATTTATTTTCTGGAGAAACAATTGTTATACTACAACCCAATCCAGTAACGTAAACGCGAGTTTAGGTGTGACAATTTTAGTTATCATGTGTCATCTCCAAAACAAACACGCCCCATAAAGGTTCACATGTATAATTTGATTTCTTAAAATAATTTGAATTGCACAATATTATTATTTTTATTTTTTTTTTTATTTTTTTTTTTACAAGGAAATGAGGCAATGCCCACGCAACGCCTAAATCAAAACACTCCGAGGATGAGCTACGCACAGTCGTTCATGTAGTAACCACATACTTGCCCCCGACGGAGGACTCGCCAACCTCTGTAAACCACCCGGACATCTCGCCGCCAAAGAAGCTAAAAAATCAGCCACAAAATTGACTTCCCGATAGCCATGAATAATATCCACCTCCCAACGACGATCTAGGAGTATTTTAAAAGATTTTGGTCCAGCAATAACAGACTTATCATATATATTTTTTTTTAATAAAATTATCTATGTATAATAGTAGAGCAGCAAACGAACCGAGCGGCTCGCGAGCGCTCGAGTCAAAGCTCGACTTGAGCTCGAGTTTGAGAGCTTGAGCCCATATTTTGCATTGTCGAGTGGCTCATCGAGTAGCTCAAGATATAAGTTGAATTACTAAAATACCCCTTATAAATATATAATACAATAGTATAGCATATTTGTTTAACGGTAATTTTATTTTTCCACTTAAATTTTCGAGTCGAACTCGAGCCGAGCCCGAGAATTTTGATTTCGTTCGAGCTTGAGTGATTGTACTTTTTTTATCGAGTCGAGCTCTAGCCTCATAAATCGAGCTCGAGCAACTAAAAAAAAAAAGAAATCAGTTCTACTCGATAACGTCAATGCTCGACTCAGCTCGACTCGTTTGTAACTCTAATAATACTAGTGTATTGTTTTTCAGATTATGACATCTGATTACGAATATTTGTTCAAAGTAAAATATTTATTTACACTTGCCATATACGTAAAATGAAATTTTATTTTTTTCATTAATTTTTTTTTTCCATAATAATTATATGCTATCCCTTTAATTGTGCAGACATTCGCAACTATATCGACATTGATAAGGTAAAAAATAATGCAATGGACACAGCTTTAGAAAAGTTTTTTTTTTTTTGGTGCAAAACAAGGAGGCTACGCAAGCCTAGAGAATAATCCATTGCGGATACGACATACCAATCTTATCATGGTGCAACCATACGCTCGTCCTTGGCGGGGTTGATCCAATCTGGAGACCCCACTCGGGCCAGTAGCTGCTAACGAAGCCAAATAGTCCGCCACAACTGATGTAGAGGAGTTGACAACGTTGGATAGTTGGTAATCCACACGTGCGCAGCCTTAGGTGACTTGGGAAAATTTTATAATTTATATGGCAAAACGTGGACTAATGTTAATGGTTGATACATAACGTTGTATTTTTTGCCAAAATGTAATTGAAACTTGTGGATTTCAGTTATAGGGCGGTTAAGGATTGATAAATTAAGTATTATTTTAAGGTGTTAAATAGATGTTACCAATAGTAATTGAACATATGAAGTCTAGCGAGAATAAATTTCAAAATAGTATTAGTAGGAAAATAATAATTTAGATTGATTATAGTAAATGGAGTTGTATACAGTGACGGATTTAGAAATTTCACTCAAGGGAGCTCGATTTTAAATGTTAAATAATATAGTTTAAGTTGAAACATTAATTTCGTATACAAATGTATTTACTATAAATATAAATATAGATACGTTTACCATTGTGTTTTTAAATACTTAGAATCCGTATCACCCTCAAACTTTAAAAAAAAAGAAGAAAATATTTCATGTATTTATGATTTAAGTGCAACATCTATAATTTATGAAAAAATAAGTTTTTTTGGTTGAAAAATTAATTTAAATTTTACTTTTGCAGCACATTGCATAATATTTTATTGAGAGAGCTTATAACATTTTTTTTAAAAAATAAATAAAGTTCAGAATATGTGATTATAAAAAAAAAAAAGTGAAAATCAATATTCATAAATGTAACAATAAACTAAATACTTGGTTTTATAAATCACAATCTTGATTACAACTAAGAGACCGAAAGTGTAAATCATTATAAATATTTTCAAAAGCTTATCTAGAAATGTAAAATATAACTATTGTTAGTACATTTTTAATATAAAATAATATTATTGATTTAAATTAAAATAGCATAGAAAATAAGTTTTAATTACTAATATATTGTATATAATTTTTTGTATTTTTCTATACATATTTTATAGATTTTCTTTATATATATATATATGTATATATATATACTTTTTTAAAAACTAGTTGTCTGCTCAAGAAACCTGTTTCTTGCTCAAGAAATTGGTTACTTGAACAAGAAACCTGTTTTTTGCTCAAGAAACAACATCGCGCAAACTTCGAACTCGAACGACAATCCCCTAACCCTAGATAGAGAATTTAGTAGCTAATAGCACTCTCAACACAAACATTCATAGTAAAGAAACCAGTTTCTTGAGCAGAAAACAGGTTTCTTGTTCAAGAAACCTGTTTCTTGATCAAGAAACTGGTGTCTTGAACAAGAAACCTGATTTCTGCTCAAGAAACAACATCGCGCAAACTTCGAACTCGATCGACAATCCCCTAACCCTAGATAGAGAAGTTAGTAGCTCATAGCACTCTCAACACAAACATTCATATTAAAGAAACCAGTTTTTTGAGCAAGAAACAGGTTTCTTGAGCAGAAAACAGGTTTCTTGTTCAAGAAACTTGTTTTCTGCTCAAGAAATAACATCGCGCAAACTTCGAACTCGAACGAAAATCCTCTAACCCTAGATAGAGAATTTAGTAGCTCATAGCGCTCTCAACACAAACATTCATAGTGAAGAAACCAGTTTCTTGAGCAAGAAACAAGTTTCTTGAGCAAGAAACAAGTTTCTTGAGCAGAAAACAGGTTTCTTGTTCAAGAAACCTGTTTCTTGCTCAAGAAATTGGTGTCTTGAACAACAAACTTGTTTTTTGCTCAATAAACAATATCGCGCAAACTTCGAACTCGAACGACAAACCCCTAACCCTAGATAGAGAATTTAGTAGCTCATAGCGCTCTCAACACAAACATTCATATTAAAGAAACTAGTTTCTTGAGCAGAAAACAGGTTTCTTGTTCAAGAAACCTGCTTGTTGCTCAAGAAATTGGTGTCTTGAACAAGAAACCTGTTTTCTGCTCAAGAAACCTGTTTCATGCTCAAGAAACTGATTTCTTGAACAATAAACCTGTTTTCTGCTCAAGAAACAACATCGCGCAAACTTCGAACTCGAATGACAATCCCCTAACCCTAGATAGAGAATTTAGTAGCTCATAGCGCTCTCAACACAAACATTCATATTAAAGAAACCAGTTTCTTGAGCAAGAAACAAGTTTCTTGAGCAGAAAACAGGTTTCTTGTTAAAGAAACCTGCTTCTTACTCAAGAAACTGGTGTCTTGAACAAGAAACCTGTTTTCTGCTCAAGAAACAACATCGCACAAACTTCGAACTCGAACGACAATCCCCTAACCCTATATAGAGAATTTAGTAGCTCATAGCGCTCTCAACACAAACATTCATAGTAAAGAAACCAGTTTCTTGAGCAAGAAACAGGTTTCTTGAGCAGAAAACAGGTTTCTTGTTCAAGAAACCTGCTTCTTGCTCAAGAAACTGGTGTTTTGAACAAGAAACCTGTTTTCTGCTCAAAAAACAAAATCGTGCAAACTTCGAACTCGAACGACAATCCCTTAACCCTAGATAGAGAATTTAGTAGCTCATAGCGCTCTCGACACAAACATTCATATTAAAGAAACCAGTTTCTTGAGCAAGAAACAGGTTTCTTGAGCAGAAAACAGGCTTCTTGTTCAAAAAACATGTTTCTTGCTCAAGAAACTGGTGTCTTGAACAAGAAACCTGTTTTCTGCTCAAGAAACATGTTTCTTGCTCAAGAAACTGGTTTCTTGAACAAGAAACCTGTTTTCTGCTCAAGAAACACTTGCTCAAGAAACTGGTTTCTTGAACAAGAAACCTGTTTTCTGCTCAAGAAACAACATCGCGCAAACTTTACGAGCCCATAATCAAACCTGTCTTCAGCCGCGGTTGAATTTCGAGCCGCGATTGAGGTACACTCACGGCCAACCGCGGTTGGGACGTCAACCGACTGTGAATGATATTTTGAACTTTCAACCTAGGAAAGACAATCTTCAGCCGCGGCTAAATGGCGAGCCGCGGTTGAGGTGCTCTTTCGGCCAACCGCAGTTGGGAAGTCAACTGGCTGTGAATGTTTAATTATGGAATATATGTACAAATGTTCGTTTACCTCATTCTCAACCACCTGCTCCAAATTTTGA